CCTCATTTATAAAGTGATAAATTCCCTGGAGTAGGGTTATTTAGCCATATGATGGGCATGTGTTTATAAAAAAAAACTCCCACAGTGTGATATCACTCAAAGCTGACTTTAAGCAACTGGAATCTGTGCTCTTGCCTCTGAAACAAGTCATTTGAGTAGTTGGCAGTAAAATTTATGATATTAGGCCTAACTTCTTGCCTAACTCCTTTTAGGGCAATATGATTTCCACTTAAAAGTGAGGGTGTGGGGGCATCTCAGATATTCACTCAGACTCATGAGTCTGGTGGGTCCTGGACAGATTTCTTGGCAGGTGGAGGAAGGAGGACCTTTGGGGAAGATAACCAGGAGTGGAGCATCACAATGCTACTTGGAAAAGTGTGGTGGCTTTGGCCAATACTTAACCATGAAGGTAAAGATGAAGTACAAATACTCCTTGAGTGAAAGCAAAGAAGCTGCTGAGAGGTAGAAAGAAAACAGACTGTTTGGTATTTATCTCCCCAAAGCCCCTGCAACGGCAAATGGGTTACTGTGCTTTTCCTGAGCTGCAGAGATGGGTTATCAGGTGACACTTGCCATTCCTTCAGCAAATCTAGGAAAAGCTGTGTGGAATGGGTTTCCCCCATAACTTAACCCAGAGCTTTGGGACATTCCACTTTCACAAACCCGATTCACCACTCAGACATTTTCACCCAACTTCCTGAAGACAGTGAAGTTCCACGAAGAAAACAGCACTCCCAGTCTCGGCCCCATGGCCTACATGAGACCCAGTGAGGAATTCAGCAAAGCTGCTCTCCTTCTCCCAGGACCACAGTGGTGCAGGAAAAGCATTATGCAGCTCTTTGAGGAAAGCAGCCAAGATGCTCATGGACCAATTCTTTGTAGCTACCAAGACCATCCAGAGCTGGAACAGGGGCGCAGCTATATACCCCTAAGCCAAGAACCTTCCACTTGACACTTAGATTTCCCTTGAGCTAGTTTCTAGGACCGTCTTTTGAGAGACTGTGTAGCTTTCTGTTGAATTCTAGTGGGTTTAGGCAATGCCTTTAAAAAAAATTACCTTGAGAAATGGGCCGTTTGAAATTTGGAGAAATTTGATAGGCAATTTAGTCTACCATTTAGGGTCACAGTTAACTTCATCACACTGTTTAAGGGAGGAAATGATATCGCTGTTTTTCAGTCTTTTAAAGGCCTTATAAGTTGAGAACCGGATAAAAAGAATAGAATGTTTGCATGTAAGGAATGCCCACAGAGTTGAGTTGTGGAGACAATACATTTCACACATTCAACAGACAGGGCATGTGAGCAAGGCGATGGCTTTAGAACTCCAGTTCAGCCAGATGCTCATGCACATGTTCTGACCTTAATGTGTATCATGAAGGAATGCGAAGACCAGGCCAATTCTCCAGTCATTTAGCCCATGCTAATCAGGGTTCTTGTACAGAGCTTGAATATTAACCCTTTGACCTTAAATCAGTATAGCCATGCTCCAAATTATTGGCTTTCTTAAAATCACTTGGGAAGATTTATTTTTTATTACTTTGAAACAAAGTCCCATGTATCCCAGGCTTGCTCAGTACCTATTAGAGTATGTTGAAGTTCTAACACAGCTGCCTCCACCTCCAAGGTTGTGGGGTTAGTGGTGGGTACCACCATGCCAGGTTTGTGCAGCTCTGTGACCTCAGGCAAGCAGACCTACCAACCGAGCTATATCACCAGCCCCTAGAGAGTTCTTTAAGAATACTTTTTATCTTAAAGTAATTCTAACTTTATGGAAAAGTTGCAAAGACACACAGAGAATTGCTGCGAACCCTCCACTCAGCTGCTACTACTGAAGCAGACACAGGACTTTTTTTCTTTTGAAGTTGTGGTCCAAATCTATAAAATGGGACTCTAATGATAAGATTCGATCATCAGTATTTTGTTTAAAGGTTGCCCCCGCATTCATTCAAGGTGAAGGCAAGTCTGGGAACCTCTGCTCTAAATCCTTTTCAATAGGGAATAAGCCAGCCAACAGTGTGGGCATTGCTTGGTGGCTTGTTAGGAATGCAACTTCATGTGGGAAAAAGTTAGTCTATGTATATAATAACATTTATATGATGACAAAGTAGTGTTGCAGAAACCTTCGATCCTATGCTTTAAAAACTGATTGTTGGTAGCTAAAAAAAACATCAGAGAGTGATTTGTTATTTAGTAGGAGAACTGATAACAGTCTTGAATTAAATGACAGACCAAGGCCACCACTCTAATAGCAGAGACCTGGGAAGGCCTTTCCCATCCTCTCATCTTTAGATTTTACTAGCGCTTAAATCAGAAAGTTGAAAGAAATAAAGAGCAACTCATTTGGAAATAGTTCAGCCGTGAAAACTATTGATATCAAGAGTTTAAGTCTGCATTTTGGACAATGGTAACACTTTTTTATGTTTAGCTTCGTCTTACCCATGCAGATAGCATAAAGTTGATTACACAAAAATCAATGAGTGTAGAATGCCCATCGAAAGGGATCCATTTTCAGCCCTTCCCAAAATGTGTGCCCGGATGAATTACTTGCTTTTGTTGGGCTGTTCATATTTCCATTTAGAATTATAAAAACGACTGTCACCGATTTCTCAGTTATTTCAAACTAGCTTTTCATTTAGCAAAGTAGGCTTAAATAGCATTGAGTATTTAAGTAAATGTTGTGGTTTCACAAAGAAACCAGTCATAGGAACTATAATCTTAACATCAATTTAATCATTTTAATTCAGGCTTTAGGATTAATGTTTTATCCTTGGTTTTTATGATAAGATTTTTTTTTAAAAGAAGTCAAAATTTAATTGAGACTTGTAAGATATGAAGCCATGCAACATGCCTTACTTAGGCATGGTATTGGATAAAATTTTACCTACATAAATAAAAATTCTTTCAGAAATGCCCAATTTAATAAAAAAATTGTAGAGGGTTCATACACAAGTACTTGTACTTATGCTATTTCCACTCCTTTTCTCTGTCCAATTCCTCCCTTGTCTCTCCCCTACTCCTTCTCAAATTCACAACCTCTTCTTCTATAATTATTGGTATACACACAAGTGGTGTACACAAACATGCACACATGCACATACAGACACAAACACGCACACACGCGCGTGTGCACAGGTACACAAATACACACACACACACCCAAAGCCTGCTATGCCCAACTTAATAATCTTTTAAAAAGTATTTGTTAGACTTTCTCATTACCTTATTGAAGCAGTGTTGTGAAAATTTTATCTTGAAGTGGAATTGGGTATGAGGTAGCTTTGCCATCGAACTAGAAAGGGGAGCTGGATGGTCAGGCAAAGAGAAGCCATTAACAAATTAGCCTTAATGTAGGACGATCACATTTAAGGATTGTCAGGGAAATGAGCAATTAACCAGTTTTGTCTCCAGGGTTCTCAGCTAAAAAAGCTGTGGCATGCCACCCACGTTCAGTGCCAAGTTCACAAACCCCATCTGTGCTCTTTAAGCTTCTTTTTCTTCCTTGCCAAAAATGTCTTTGTTTCAAACTCCAGAGATCTAGTGAGAAACTACCAAGATAATCTCACCGAGCTTCTGAGGCAGCCTTGCTGTCTACAGACCCATGGGGCTCCCTATGACTCACCTGTTTCAAATGGTGTTTTTTTTATTATTATTATTATCTTCATACTGATCAACTAACTCACCATATGTCAAGCCTTAGAGGTTCTGTTTTCTCTCCCCTGTATATGCTTTCAGTTTCTTCTCTATTGGCTCTTTCCCCCAGCTTACAAACATATTTAATACTCTCCTACCTCCGGCCAAAATGTGCCTTCCATCTGGACTTCTAGGCAGAATGGCTGAGGTTAACGTTGCCTGGTATGATCACACAAGCCTGAGATGTCAGGACTTTGAAAGCTGAGGCAGGAAGATCACAAGTTCCAGACCAACTTTGGCTACGAAATGAGACCTTGCCTCAAAACAACAACAAAAGCCATAATCTTGAAGATACATATTTTGACTTTTATTTTTTAGTTCATAGACTGCAACTGGTTAATAAAACCGTAGTAAACAAACATGTAAAGTCATCTAAACACTAAATGCTGATAAACTATGGAACCATCAAGCCAAAGCTGCAGGACTGAAAGATGTGAGCCTGGGAGAGAGAGGCCATCAAGAGCTCAGCTCCAGAATTGGGGAGATGGTCAGTTAGTAAAATACCTACCTAGCATGCTTAGGGCCCAAAGACTGATCCCCAGGGCTGGGGAAAATGCTCTAGTAGGAAATGGGCTCCGTTGGTATATATATGTATGTATTATTATTTTATATAGCTAAGCCCCTACTTTTGAACAAGTAGTTATGAATCAAAAATATTACCTTGGGCTCCGCGCCCCCACAAATATACCCATTTAGTCTTGTTGCATCATATTAGCCAATACAGTTCAGATGCAACCACAGAGAAACAGCAAGACTTCATCTTAAACTAGGAAATGGGGCTGTCGTCACAAAAGTAGGACAAGAAAAGAATCTCTACTGCTTATCTGTGGCTGCAATAGTAAAGTGTCATAAATCTGGTGTCTCGGAACAACAAAATCCCAAAAATCAAGGTGTCAAACTCTCTTGGCATGAAGCATTGCCTCGTCTGCTTTGCGGGGCTCGAGGTAATCCCTGAGTTGTGGCCTCATCACTTCATGTCCGCCTCCGTATTTACATGACCCTGCTGGGTCTTTGTCTACTCCTGGTTTCTAAGGACCTTGCTCATTGTACTTTGGGTTCACGTGACTAATATCACAAGGACTTTACCTCCATTATATATGCATTTTTCCTGAATAAGACAATGTGCTCAGGCTCTGGAAGTAAGGAAGTAGATGGATCTATCATTTTGAAGTCCACCATTAGGCATGGTTTGGCCTAGGTCCCAGTGCACATTTGAATAACCTTGTCTAGTTTCTTTTCAAATGGTCTATAGTTCAAACTGTTAGCAGCCACAGTTATCACGATATCTTTGTAACTTACTCTCAAACTAGGATTTTTCTTTCGAGCAATCATCCCGGTCAATGTTGGAACGATCTGAACAACAGATCAGAGCTGCTTCTAGTTTGGAGGAGCTGCTGCAAGTCGCACACTCCGAGGACTGGAAGCTGTGGAGATGCCGGCTGAAGCTCAAGAATCTTGCCAGTATGGACTCACGCTCAACATCCCATCGCTCCACTAGATTTGCGGCAACATTCTATGATACGGAAACGCTAAAAGGTAGGTGTGTGAGTGAAATGGCAGATTATGTCCTTATCAGATAGTGGCACAGGTACCAACTCCTTCCAAAAGTTTGAGTAGGGTGGGTATGTATCAGAGGGGGGAAAGGGGAGTCTTTCTCTTTATGGCAAGACGGTTCACTGGATAGAGATGAGAATGGTTCTCAGCCGCACGTATGCTCCTCCATAAATAAACAGATGTAATAAAAACGTAAACAAATCAGTATTTGCAAGAGTAATTTCTCTCCTTCTACCTTGTGGGGCTCAGGAAATGAACACAGATCTTGAGGCTTGGCAGCAAGCACCTTTACCCACTGAACCATCTTGCCAGCTCAAGAAATCTGTGTTTTAAATGCCTGCTCCACAAAGAATAGTCAGTATGATTTTGATGTCTACGTGTAACCCAAAAACATTTCACATTATCAAAGTAAGTTTAACTCAGGAATTTGAGGGCATGGTAATACAGAAAGACTGCTTTTAGGGAGGGAAAAACAGGTTTAAAATAACCTCACTATTCATTCAATTACTATGCAGATAGAGAGGAAAACCAAGAATAGAGTTATGGCTTTTCTTCAGAATTCTGTGGTTTTTATCTAAAAGCTAAAGGCAGAAATTGCACAGTAAGGCATAATAATGGGTTCTGGTTACTCAGAGAATAACAGAGAAAATTCTTGACATAAAATAATCAAAGCTTAGGACTAGAAAATAGCATGCAAACATACAGTCACCCGTTTGGATCCTCAGGTTCTGCCCACCCCCCATGGGGTCAGCCATCACACATGTCAAATACTTCAGGGAAATGCATGTTTTCTGAACATATCCATACCTTGTTTTGACATACAATATACTGTAATGACTATTTGTATGGCATTTGTGTATTTTATTTGTGTTACCAGAAGTTATCGAGACATGATTTCCAGTGTAAAGGAAGATATAGGTGAGCTATTTACAAATTCTAGCCCAATTATATAAGGAATTTGTTAACCCAAGGATTGAGTATCTATCTGTAGGGTATCCTGGGTCCAGTCCTCCACAGATATCAAGGGACCATTATATTTCTGAATTTATTCCTGGGGTAGGGGTGGAGATAGATGTGCCTACTTATGTGTCTCCTTATGCCACTTTCATGATATCCAGATTGAGATATAGACTCTTTACAAAACTAGTGTTTATACATACTGTGATACAATGAATGAAATGTTTTTAAATAAAGTTGTGTGGACTTGATTAGGCATTTAGCTCTCTGATAAAATATCAACATAACTTGAGAAACCAGTGGACTTGTTAGATTTAGTCTTGTAGATACAAATATTACCACATAGTACTTGAGTATCTCCACTGCTTAATTTCAGTCGATCCTTAAGCAAGAATTATTCTTTTCTTTCTATCTAGAGTTGTCTTTTTTTCCTAAAGAATGGATTGCACGGGATTCAGCTATGGGGAAAGCTGTATGGAAGTGAGGGGAATCCCATGGCAGCGTATGTGTGAAGGAAGTTCTTTGTGCTCATGAGTTGGACTGTGTGTCTGAGTGAGGGTCTAGTTGTTGATTCATGTGGTGATTTTACATGCACTTGACAAAAACAACTGCATCTGGAGACTGCAGACTTTGGCCAGATTACGTGTCCGAAGGCCCGAGGGGCCTGTACAGATGACCTGTAAAGACAGTTTTCCCATAAAACCACAAGGCAGTGATTTGTAAAAGTCAACCAGGTTGAAATTTTCTAAGAAGGAAACCATAAAAAATCAGAGAATTTGTAGCTTCCACGGTTTCCCTCCTAATTATGTGGAGGACCAGCTGAAGTTATTCCTTAAATTAGAAGAAACAGATAATCAAATAAGTGTGTTACACTGATTATGTTTTGTTATCTACTCCCTCTCAAGGATTTCAGGGTAATTTTCTGGGCCATAGTAAAAAAAAAAAAAAAAAAAACAACTGGCCTTATGGAACCTTAGTCGGTGGTCTTGGTCATTACTGCATGAGATTTTGATTATAATCTCGTCCAACTTTTAAAAGTTATAACTTTAAAGAGAAAAATCAAGTAGAAAATAACATTTAAATAGCGTTTTAAACAATGGATATTTTCATAAGTCAATTGCTCTTTCTGTCAAAAATTCATGACTAATAGTAGCAATTTAAATAGCATCCCCTAGCAATGCTAAATAATTGTGTCATGCATACAGCCTGAAAATGCGTTTTATCATCAGAAATTTAAAAGTATTAATTTTATATTCTTGTATGTATGGGTGTTTTGCCAGCATGTATGTCTGTGCACCACATGTATGCAGTACCCATGGAGACCAGAATAAGGCATCAGATCCACTGGAATTGAGTTAGAGGTGTGAGCTTCCATACGGATGCTGGGAACTAAATGTGGGTCATCTGGAGGAGCAGCTGGTACTTCTGAGCCATCTCTCCAGGACCATTGTCATAGTTAGGGTTTCTATTGCTGTGAAAAGACACCATGACCATGGCAGTTCTTAGAAAGGGAAATATTTAATTGTGGTGTCACACTTAGAGTTCAGAAGTTTAGTCCCCCATCTTCATGGCGGGAAGCAAGGCAGCTTGCAAGCAGACATGGTACCAGAGAAGGAGCTAGAGTTCTTACATCTTGACTCACAGGCAATAGAAAGTGGTCTGTCTCACAGGGTGTGACTTGAGCATATGTGAAACCTCAATGCCTGCTTCCACAGTGACACACTTCCTCCAGAAAGACCACACCTACTCCAACAAGGCCATACCTCTTAATAGTGTCACTCCCCTTGGGGGCCATTTTCTTTCAAACCACCACACCCACCAATACACATATTTTAAATACAGTGTGTAGAACTGTTTGCCTGTTACTATATCTTACCCCCAAATTTGATTGTCCCAAACAGACTGTGTGTACACATGCAAGTGTACATGTGTGTACAGATGCATACGGTTGTGGAGGCCGGAGCCTGGGGACAACCTAGAAATTAATTCTTCAGGTGCCATCCTACTTGTAAAACAGATTTTTTGGGTTTCACATTTTTTTAGATATCTGAAATACAAGCATGGCCAGGATTTTTTTTTCTTATTCAGGATCTCTCTGGAGCCTACAGTTAAGGTCTTCATCTGGGCTCCAAGTATCTCAAGGTTCAACTGGGGCATAATGTACTTCCAAGTTCATTCAACGGTTGCTTGTAGGATTAAGTTGCACATGGACTCTTGGACTGTGAAGGGCCCCTTCCTCCCTGCCTGTTGGCCAGAGGCTGCCCTCAGTTGGTAGTAGCTTCAAAAGTGACTTTCAGGCTGGACAAGTGGCTTGGAGGTTAAGAGTACATACTGCTCTTGTAGAGGACCCATGCTTGTTTCCTATCATCTGTATAAGGTGGGTTCACAACCATCCATCACTCCACCTTTGTTTTTAAAATAGGGTCTCTTATTGTAACTGAAGCTCACTGATTTGAATAGCCTGCCTGGCCAGCAAACCCTAGAGATCCATCTGCCTCTTCCTTCCCAGCACTAGGATTCCAGGGGTACGTCAGCATGCCCAGCTTTTTATGTGGGTTCTGGGGATCTGAACTAAGGTCCTTGCACTTGTGCAGCCCACATTTTCCCAACTGAGCCATCTCCCCAACCCTAATGTAGGTGAAATTTCTTTTGTTGCCAGCTCCAAATAATTACACAGAGATTTCATTTTAATTATAAATGCTTTGCCTGTAGCTTAAGCTTGTCCCACTAGCTCTTATAACTTAACCCGTTTCTATTAATCTACATTTTGTCTCATGACTTTTTTCCTCTCTTCTATCTTGAACCTCCTGTTTCCTCTCTGTGTCCTCTGGTATCTCTCCCACACATTAATTCATCTCCTCTTCCTCTATCTCTGCCTGAAAGTTCTGGCTAATCTCTTCCTGCATAGCTATTGGCCATTCAGCTTTTTATTAAACCAATCAGAAGGAACCTTGGCAAAGATAAATCTTCACAGTTATAAAAAAAGATTATTACACAACATACCTCCTTTTTGTCTAAATATAAAGAAAAGGTTTTCTTTTAACTCTAACAGTAAAACTATATACAATAAGAACAATTATCAGGTACTGTCCAAATAATAAGGGATAGTTTTAACTTTAACAAAGTAAAACTATATACAATAAGAACATTTTCAAGTAAGAATTACATTCACAATGTTTAGTCCGTATGTGTTTGGCAAATTTGGAGGAAGTACTGTATTATCTATTCTATCTTAGTGAGTCCAAAGTTTTTTACCTAAACTATTTTTACAGTAGCTTGTATCACCAATCTAAAATATATTTTTAGATCTTAAAACATTTTTCTTAAACAATTTAAGCTTTTATGTTTCTCAATCTTGTACATTTTATATCTCCTTTGTGAGTTTCTTTTATGAATTTGGTAACAAAGAAAAGTGTAACTATAACTAGCTCATCTTCAACCCCATCTGAGACCTAAGAAGGTCTCCTGCACCTTGGTTCACCTCCTCTTCCTCTCTATGCCCAGAAGTCTTGCCTATCCAGTCCTGCCTAGCTATTGACCATTCAGCTCTTTTTTTTTCTGTTTATATTTCTGTTTTTAATTTTTGCATTTTTTTTCAGCTCTTTATTAAACCAGTTAGAAGGTACCTTGGCAAAGACACATCTTCATGGTATACAAAAAGATTATTCCACAACACCTTGTATTTCCTTTTTTCTAGTTTCCCTCAAATTAGTTATGGCCAGGGAGCTGCTTCTTCTATTAAAAGGAAAGGGCTTATCTTGTCATCTTCTAAAAACCCGTGGACGGTTTCAAACGTGAAAAGTCTGATTTGAGGAAAAATCAATTCCATTGGAACACCCACTTGTGTGCTTGTCGGCTTTAAGTCTCTGTGCACTTATACAAGCAGACAACAAAAATTTATTTCTCTATGATTTTAAAACCTCTTCCTACAGTTGTACCCTGTAAGTTGCTTGAGAAATAGCACTCACATGTTATGTCTCCATATTAGTCCACCGGTTTCCTTATTATTCAGCCTTTGCAAATGGCACGTGTGTGGCCATTTGCAAAACAGTGCTCCCCCAAGGGAAAATTATTTTATGAAGTGATTGTATCAATGGAAAAGTATAGAGATTTCAATTAAGAAATTTTTTTTGCAGGCACATCTTTGACTGAAGGATGGACAAAACTATCCATCTAGGGGTTAGAAAGATGGTTCAGGGGTTAAGACCACTTGCCATTCTTACATAGGACCCGGGTTCTCTTCCCACGTGGTGACGCACAACTATCTGTAACTCCTGTTCCAGGGGATCCAATGAGCTCTTCTAATCTCCAAAGGCACCAGCACACATGTGGTGCACATACATACATGTAGGCAAACATCTATACACATAAAATAAAATAAATACATTTCTAAAAGAAATGTTTAAATACCCACCTAGTAAAATAAACAAGTACAAAAAGGTGTGGGCGGGCGGGCATGAAAACACCTATGTTGTGTACCGGGGCCATTTTTGTCTGCTGGCCTCAATGAACTTTATTCCTGCAGTTATAGATGAGGAATGGCAGAGAACCCAGTGTAGCCCTCGAGAGACCTGCGTGGAAGTCGCCAGCGAGCTGGGAAAGACAACCAACACGTTCTTCAAGCCCCCCTGCGTGAACGTGTTCAGGTGTGGAGGCTGCTGCAATGAGGAGAGTGTGATGTGTATGAACACCAGCACCTCCTACATCTCCAAACAGGTATGAGGAAATGAAGATGCTGCCGCTGACCTTGTCACCAAGCAACTGAGCTAAATCCTTCATGTGGAGAACCTCATCCAATTCCCCAAACAAACTCAGAGGCTATCTTATCCTCCTTATCAGGGAAGGAAATTGAGGCTCAGGGAGGTAATATAATATCCGCCATTACGCAGCCTCGTTAGTTCCCATCTACCTAAGGCTGTAAAATCAAGACGGACCTTTGGACATTACTAGAACAGGGTGTTAAAAGAAATGAAGGAAGCTGTGCTGTCTTATGTAGCTGTTCCCGTGTATGGAGTTTAATTGGAATGATGGAGAAAAGCTGACTGAAGAGTGGGGGTGGGGTCAGAGGAAGAGAGAAAAAGGAACGCAAAGAGGACCAGCTAAGTGGGGAGGTGCTCTCACCCTAAAACTGAAGAGGCTGAGGGAGGGAGCAGGCATAGGAACAGAGGGAAAATGGTAGCGGACTTCCCACTTGGTGGATGCCCACTATTAGCCTGGTGGGGAATGTAAGCATGTGCGAGAATCAAAGGAACCCGGAACCAGTGAGAGCAGGTCCAGAGCCTGATAGGGAAGGGAAGAGAGACCAGGTCTCTGGGGTAGAGTGGGGAATGAAGGGAGAATCTGCAGCACAAGAGTCTTGAAAGAATCCTGCAGTGCCCGAGAAGGAAATAAAATAAATGAATCAAATCACATTTCCCCTGTAGCTAAATGTCCGTCGCTACCATCTTCTTGTAAGACGTGGTAAAAGCTGTGTGTGGGAACTGAAGTAACCCACTTAGGAAAGCGCTATTAAAATGCTGTCAACCAAGCCACATTCCTTTTGATCCTCTGTTGTGAATTCCTCACATGTTACAACTCATTTATCACATTTACTTGTCTCCTCATGATCCTGTAGTAAAAGACAATTACATGGGTGCCAAATACATCCATGCCAAGGAATGTTCTAAATGCCCATTTGTTTTGTTAATAGATTAAAGTTTTCTAACTTTTGTCCCCCCCCCCCCCCGCTTCCATCTAAACTGTCTTTAAGAGTGTAGCAATTTCGTGTCTGAACCCTTTTGGAGAATTTTAGAACTCAACATATCTGACCCCTACTATTTGATAACTAGAAACAATGACGTAAGTATGGCTACAATCAATGGTTAGTAAAACAAAGCTTGTGTAATGTAAGAGAGTTCAGTGTCTGATGGTGGTATTCCGTGGAGTGTAGCTGAAGAATTGTGCAAGAACATGAAGTTTATGCAAATAAAACACCCTGACTGATTCTCAGGGAGGTCTCATGACATGTTGAAAGGTCCGAGTAAACACGACCTTAATGAGTTGTTTCCACTTAGTAGATAGCTGATTGCTTTGTTTTGACTGCTGCACTCAACAAGTGATTCATATGAAGAAATTTATTCCAGTGTAAGTGCACAGCAGTTTTTCTTTCCAAATAAAAATACCCATGCAGTTTGGCAGTTCCTACCTTAAAGGTACAGAGTATGTGATGAACTGTCTCTTAAAAACAAACTAAATAGAACTGCATAGATGGGTGATTGAGTGGAAATGCCTTAAAAACCAAGTTCAAATCTATCTACACTTCATGGAACCACACTTGAAACTTCTTTACTCCCTTCGGGCATCTCTTTTTCCATCTATCATGTAAATATCATTAAACATGTAATTTTTTAAAAAAATATTTTTATTTTTATTTATATCAGTCTGTATATGTGTCTACTACATGAGTGTAATGCCTGTGAAAGCCAGAAGAGGGCACCAGATTCCCTGGAGCCACTTGAAGTGGGTGCTGGGAACTGAACTCAGGTCCTCTGTAGAAGTACCAAGTGCTCTTAAACACTGAGCCATCTCTCCAGCCTCCCAAATATAATGTTTTTACAAGCGATAAAGAAATTAATAATAAAATATTTACAATAGAGCGGGCATATAGAAACATAGGAATAGACACACTAGCTATAATTCTCTTTCTGGGTATGATCTTAACTGGTACAATGCTTTTATAGCAAATGCTCTAAAACTCAGGGGCTTCAAACGATGATAAATTATTTTTTCTTGTGTATCTGAGGTTTGAAATATTCCAAGGTGTTGTGCGAGGCCAGACCTGCTTCCTGTATCCCCAATCCTGTGGACCAGCATGGCTTCCAGGTTATATTCTTCTCATGGCTATACCATAATCAAGAAACAATAAATCTCACAAACCTTGCACAGCCCCAAGTTTACAATATTACAAATTACATAGAATCCACCCAAATCTCAAAGAACCTCCAAGGATTTAATTTTATTTATCCTTACAGTTTACACTTAAATTTAAAACAAGAGCAGGGACCAGTGGTACCACTTTCAAGAACTCTAGTGATGGTGAAAAGAACAGATTTGGAAAACACTTAAGAGACTTTACCAAGCTGGAGATGCCCCCTGTTTCCTGGCTCCCAACATCCCAAGCCTCTTACAATGAGTAACTCCATTCTGCATGGATAACTTTGCTAGAGTCATTACCATGAAAACAAGGACAAAAATACAGATTGTGGAAACTGAAAAAAAATCTATAATAAAATTTACATCATGGTTCTCTCTCTTTGCTGTAGCTCTTTGAGATATCAGTGCCTCTGACATCAGTGCCTGAGTTAGTGCCTGTTAAAATTGTCAACCATACAGGCTGTAAGTGCTTGCCCACGGGCCCCCGCCATTCCTACTCAATTATCAGAAGATCCATTCAGATCCCAGAAGAAGATCAGTAAGCATTTCCTGGACTTGATCATGTCTGTTCTTGCTTTTGACAAAATTGTGTGTGCATTCCTTTATTCCTTTACCCATTATAGAGGCATCCCCAGAAAGACATGTGTTGTGTGTTTTATGTCTTGTGAATATAAAAACAAAAAGTCATGAAAGTACAAGGGGAATTTTTAGGAAAAAGGAAACAGATGAAGAGGATGGGGCAGAGGGGAGAAGAGACGGTAAAGGTACAGGTAAATCTCAAAAAGTATATTTTATGCACGCCTGAATAGTGCATGGTCAAACCCATTGTTTTTTACAATATACATTAATAAAATATTAGACAAACAAAAGAAATACATGTAAAATTATCAAATTATCATCTCTTCACTAAAATTGTTTATCTTTTGGCTTCAAAACCATATCTACTCATAGTATTTGACACACATATTTTTATTAGGTTCTATGTATATATTGCAGTAGGTCCCAAACCTTGATGGTTATAAATTTGTCAGGTTTACTTGCAGACACATATGAGGCTTTTGTGCCTGTTTTTTGTTTGTTTTGTTTTTGCTTTTTTTGTGACAAGGTCTCACTTTGTATCTCTGGCTAGCCTGAAACTTCCTATGTGGAGCAGGGTTCCTCAACCCTCAGAGATCCACTTGCCTCGGCCTCTTGAGTTCGGGGATTCAAGATGTGCCACCACATTGGCCTAACACCTTTGTTCTTAACACGAGTGGTCGAATACATGACAAAACTGCACCAGCCTCCAAGCTACCATGTGTCCCCTCACTCCAGAGCAAGCAGTGACTCTCCTGAATTCCAGTTTACTTTCTAAAGATTTCCTAGTAGAATATTGACAACTATAGAATTACTATCTAGTAAGATGCCATTCATAAATATAAACTCAGCTCTCTATTTTATTTTGTTTATGTTTGTGTCTGTGTATGCATGTTTGTTGGTCTGTGCACATGTGTGCAAGTGCCATTGGAGTCCAGAAGAAGGTGCTGGATCACGTGGAGCTGGAGTTACAAGTGGTTGTGAGCTTACCCACATGGGTGTTGAGAACTGAACTCAGGTCCCATGGAAGAAAAGTGCTCACTCTAAGCTGATGAGCCATCTCTCTAGTCCTCAAAGTTAAGGTCTTTAAAACCTTAATTATTCTCACATAGTTGTCATTTCTTAGCCGTCACCATGCTGTGTGACACAGTGCTCTCAAACATTTGTTCTCCTGAATGACTCTTAGAAACAAAATATAAAAGCACTAGAATTCTCCACATAGAATATTTAGATGATAAGATATTAAATATTGAGAATGACTTAATATTCCCAATGGAGAATTACCTTGAAAAATTTAAATATGGCTCATTATTTTCTTTTCCTAGATGTCCTCAATCCAAGAAACTCTGTCCTATTGACATGCTGTGGGATAACACCAAATGTAAATGTGTTTTACAGGATGAGAATCCACTCCCTGGAACAGAAGGTAAAGATGGCAATAGTGAAGTAATGACCACAGTGATAAAAAGAACATCAGCAGTGAACATGATTGAGGACTTATTATGACCAGGCATATAGTTATTTTTTTGTTGTTGTGATAAAATAGCAACCAAAAGCAGCTGCAGAAAGGAAGAGTGTATTTTGACTTATGGTTTGTGGGCAATGCAGACCATCATGGTGGGGAAGGCATGGGAGCAGGCAGAATGGCATCAGAAGCAGGAAACTAATTGATCACATCTGCACACAGGAAGCAAAAAGAGAACAGGAAGTGGGGTGAAACTATAAACCACCAAAACCCACCTCTAGTAGTGTACTTCCTCCAGAAAGGCCCCACCTCTTAAGGGTTCCATAACTTTCTGGAACAAAACCAATTGGGAATCAAGTGTTCAAATACAAGGGGGACATTTTTTTTATTGATATTTATTGAGCTCTACATTTTTCTCTGCTCCCCTCCCTGTCTCTCCCCTCCCCTTCAACCCTCTCCCAAGGTCCCAATAGGGGACATTTTACATTCATGCCACAACATCAGACAATCTTGTAATCTTCATGAAACCCTATGATTTCCCCTTTTCACAAGCACACAGTGTCCACCCCAAGTTATCTAGCTATTTCCTCATTATTACAAAGATAACGGTGGTAGAAGCATTTGGATTCTAGATCCTTCTCTGTTGTGACCATATCCACCACGAATCACTCTACTGTTCATTCTCAAAGAAAAGTACAGAATGACCAAAGCATCCCAAAAGCATATTTTCAAGAGCAGACATTAAACTTTAATTAAAAAAATTACTTCAGGGTGAAGCACATAAGGTCTTTGGGGACCATTTGAAATCAAGCCAATAATATGGAAAAATATAAAGAATGGAAGAACACAGGGAAACATTTTTCCAGAGCTGGAGCAAACCCTGGTATTGGGCTAAGCCACACTGGGGATTGCTAGCCTGTCAATCTTTTTTCCAATCTGTAAAGCTGTGAGTTCCAGAAGGAATATATGTTTGACAATGCATGAGATTTTTATTTGCTGTTGAAATAAGAGCAGCGGGGCTGCGTTCCCAGCATCCCCACCGCCTGCTTGGCTAGCTTATGCCCGAAATAACAACACACAAACTGTATTCATTTAATCACTGCTTGGCCCATTTCTATCTAGCCTCTTCTAGGCTAATTCTCACATATTAATTTAGCCCATTTCTAATCATCTGTGTAGCCCCCCTAGGTGCGCTTACCGGGAAGATTCTAGCCTATGTCCATCCTGGGTCGGAGCTTCATCGCATGCATCTGCCCAGGAGCCGGGAGCATGGCGTCTCTCTGAGGCATCTGCTCCCGAGAGGAGAGCTGTGGAGTCTGAGCTCACTTCCTCTTCCTCCCATCGTTCTGTTCTGTTTACTCCTCCCACCTATGTTCTAACCAATGAGGGCCAAGCAGTTTCTTTTTATTTAACCAATGACCTTCCTCCATCAATTTGCTCCCCATAACATGTAACATGGTTCCACTGAAAACTATCACAAGGGAACATGCAGTGTGAACTCGCTTGCTTTAAACTATGATTTAACAAGAATAGCAAAGATTAAGCTCCATGGAATCTGTCATAGAAACTAAATAGCAAGCTGTGATTTGCACTTGCCCTCTTTTTCTGGTTCTTAACAGCTTTCTAAATGCTGCCTCAAGAGCTCAAACTAGGATGTGAGATAATATATTTTTAAAGTTATATAGTTAAAGGCTCACACATATAGATGTGTGCACACAGACACAATATAGTAAAGGGTGACAATCAAGCCAGAATACCACAATGCAGTCACTCAGAAGTCATCATCCAGCCCTACCTGAAGTCAGAGCTCCCTTGGGGATATCTCAAGTAAGCAGATTGGGTACTACAGACTGTGGGAGGGTTTATAATCTGGGGTAAGGCCTTTTCTTTCTGAGGGGGGTTAATTCCTTGGGAGAACACATTGGATAGGGTCGTGTACTGAGGTAAGAAGGTCTAGTAAGGAAGGAGAGGTGTGCTCTGAGCAGGGGGCTGTAAGAGCTCAACACCAATGTGAGAGAGCAAAGCACAAACCTGCTGCTGGAAAATATGAACAAGGTGCTGGGATGTGTTAGTTACTTTTCTTGATGCTGTAGCAAAACACCTGGCAAAAGCAATGGAAAAAAGGAAGGAAGGGAGGAAGGAGAGAAGGAAGGAAGGAAGGAAGAAAGGAAGGAGGGAAGGAAGGAAGGAAGGGAGGGAGGGAAGGAGGAAGGGAGGAAAGAAGAAAAGAAAAGAGAGAGAGAGAGAGAGAGAGAGAGAGAGAGAGAGAGAGGCTTATTTTGGTTTTTACTTTGACATGGTTTTCACTTTGCCATGCTGGGGATGACCTGGCAGCATGAGAGGGCTGATCACATTGTGTCCACAATCAGGAAGCAGACAGCACATAGCCCTTCCTGTTCCTCTTCTTCCTTTTATTCAGTCTGGGGTGCCCAGCTCACGTTTACAGTGGGTCTTCCTCAGTTAAAGCTCTCTCTGGTAGTGTCCTCAGAAGCACAACCAGAGGTGTACATCTTTGGTGGTTCTAGAATCCAGTAAAGTCACCAATAAAGATTAATCATATCACAGAGACACATAACATATTGAGGAAAAAGGGTACATATGAGGAGACAAAGCTAGGAAAACCCTTAGGATTGGAGAGAAAGACTAAATAAGCTTGTGCTGGAAAAGTCTGGATGTGATCTTCTGGAAAAAATGAAAACCACCCAAATGGTTTAAGAAAGAGAGTGGTAGCATCTGTTGGAATTGTAAAAAGATCAAGCAAACACCAGTGCAGAAGAGAATAAGTTGACCTGAGCAGGAGAGGGGGCAGGGATCTTCTGGGGAAACTGTAGCAATGGTTGCAGTAAGGAAGGAGGATGGACCGAATCCCAATTACTTTTAGTTTTCATCACTCATGACATACTTTTGTGCCCTAAGTTTCCATCTGTTTCTCTGGTGGTCCCTTTCTATTGATGATACATTACTTTCTGTGCACTAAACACCTTTTCTGCATAAAAAGGTATTGAGCTAATTGCCTTCTCTACAGTCATTTATTCTCCAAATAGACGTGGTTGATGCAAATCCAACTCATTTTCTTATCATTGCTATACTGGATAAAACATAATAATAGTGGAAAATGGAAGAAGGCCAAGGATAGAACACAGTGGTAACCCAGAGTCAACTTCCCTAGGGATGGAAATCAACATGTAATACATCAAGGTGTCAGCCTCAATTGGTTGCTGTTCAATCTAGTTCTCTTGCATCCAGTCTCTGTTTCTTTTAACTTGCTTGTAAGGACGTAATGTTCCGCTCTGCCACAATCTGCTGAACACCCCAGGATTGCATTTCCCTGAACTATTCATGGATGGAGCCAGGCCTGCACAACACTTTCTTGTGCACCTCTGCTGCCACCTAGTGCTCAATGACTCTTTTAAGAGTCTTAACTGTTTTTCAGTAATCAAGCCTTGTCTTGCCCTAAATTGATATTTGCCTCAGTGACTTAGAGTATATGCGGCTCATCTTTTTCAAACTCTGCATGAAATTAGGAATGGAGTCTGTGGATATCTAGTCCATGTAATTTCTAATTATGTGTCAACTAAAGAGTAGTCAAAACCATAAGACTGGATCATGAGAAATTGTCATTTGGGGATGAGGTGGAGGAGAAAAGAGGGAGGAAGGGAAGGGTGAGAATGAGTACGGGAGGTTTTTAGGGTCAAGGTCATGGAAGGTCTTTTCATGTTTAATATTCTGGTATAAAGTTTGGCCTTTTTGTGTGCAGAAAAACTTTAAGACATAAGGCATGGTTGGGCGTGGTGGCTCACATCTTTAATCCCAGCACAAGCGTGACTGAGGCAGAGGCAGGTGAATCTCTCTGAATTCAAGGTCAGCATGATCTACAAAGCAAGTTCTAGGACATCCAGGGCTACAGAAAACCCTGTTTTGTTTTGTTTTGTTTTGTTTTAAGACATTTAAAGCTTAGGTCTTGATGGGATCAGGTTTGCATTTGATAGTCCCCTGAGGGGACACATACTTCGGTTGTGTGGTTGTAACACAAGTAGCACCCACAAACAGAAAAAAACACAAGGGACTGAGTGACTTGTGACAGTGGCAGTGTGATGGAGAAGAGAGGGCATGCACAAGGGACCGAGTGAACAGTGGCCACACAATCTAGTGGACAATGGTGCTGGGATTAAAGATGTGAGCCACCACGCCCAACCATGCCTTATGTCTTAAAGTTTTTCTGCACACAAAAAGGCCAAACTTTATACCAGAATATTAAACATAAAAAGACCTTCCATGAGGCAATCTGGAAAAGAAGCAGGCTTGGGGAAGAGATACTCATCTTCTTCCAAAACCTTCACGAATGCTGAGATGAAAAGTTCAAGTTCTTCCAAACTTTTCACCTTCTCCACACGTTGTTTGCTTTTGCTTTTGCTTTGAGAGAGACTCTTGTTGTTCCAGCTGAACCTTAAACTCAATATGTAGCAGATGATGACCTTGAACTTTTGATTCTTCTGCCCCTACCTGTGGAGTGAGTCACGTGGCACCACACTCAGTCTAGGAGTCACTGGGGACGGGATTCAGAACTTCTCTCCTGCTCTAGGCAAGCATCCTACCAACGGTGTCACACCTGCAGCCCATCTCTTATTCTTTCGGCAATGAATTTCAGTCCACTAGTTGAGACTGGACCACCATCCGTTGTCACCTTGTATATATTTCATACACGTGTGTGATCTGAGAAAGGAAGTGCGTCATGGGTTATCCGGAAGTTCTGAGGAAACTATTTCTTCAACATCAGTACTTCTGGTTCCCACTCTTTTAAAACACTGGAGAGGACTACATTTGTACCCCACAGGCAGCCTATGTCTTGTCACTGATGGTTGTTTGCATAAGTATGTAGGGTGGGTGGGTGTAGTTAAAGATGTATTTATTTTAATTTTATGTGTATGAGTATTTTGTCTCCCTTGTCTGCATACGCTTGCATGCAGTGCCTCTGCAGGCCAGAAGAGGGCAACAGACCCTCTGGGATTGTAGTTATAGGTAGTTTTAAGTCACCATGTGAGTGTTGAGAACCAAAGTAGGTCTTCTGCAAGAGCAAGGAATTCTCTTAACCCCTGAGCCATCTTTCCAGCACAGAAGTTTATATTTTTAAAAGGTCGCTCAACAACATAAAAATTTGTTATGAATATTCAGTTTATGATTTTTTAATTTAAAACCTAAGAAAACACATGAGTTCTATGTTTATGTTTTGAAATCAGTGATGGATCTCACTTACTCTATGAAAAAATTAAGGTAAAAAATCTATAGGCAAGAAAATTGGGAAGATCCAATTTATTGGAAAGACGTAGAACTTGCAATTAATTGGGATCATCACATCCTCTAGACCTTGGTCGCCAAACCAACACTTTCTTTTTTCTGTTTAGACCACTCATATCTCCAGGAACCAGCTCTCTGTGGACCACACATGAAGTTTGACGAAGATCGTTGTGAGTGTGTCTGCAAAACATCATGTCCTGGAGATCTCATCCAGCACCCAGAAAACTGCAGTTGCTTTGAATGTAAAGAAAGTCTAGAGAGCTGCTGCCAAAAAACACAAGATTTTTCACCCAGACACATGCAGGTCAATGGTCTTTTCGCTTACCCCTTAAGAGCATTGACTGGTGCCATTTAAAGGGCATAGCAATCTGATTCGGTGTGGCTCCTTTGTCTCATTGCCCAAGCAACCCCTTAAAAAACAGACAAACAGAGGTCTGGCATCTCAGACATAAGTGGAAGCATATAGAGTGATGATGAATTCTGTTGTTGTTTCAAAACAGGGTCTCATGAATTTCACACCTGCACCCCATGCCTGCTATCGCGCTAGCATAAGCGAAACAAGAGGTCACTGACATTTAAACAATCAGGTTAAGCGTGGTTCAGCTCAGCAAGCTCTCTCTCTCTCTCTCTCTCTCTCTCTCTCTCTCTCTCTGTCTCTGTGTGTGTTTTCTCAACGAAGAGGCTAGCACTAGATTTGTGTAGGCAAGAAGTTTCTGGATGATTATGATCCTTGGAGGCCGTTGATTGGACTTTGATCAATTTCAAAACCTACTCAAATTAACCACTGAGATTTTTTAAAAAATAATTAAACATTTTCTTTGATGATTTCATGCACACAGAAAATGCATCCTAAGTACTTTTACCCTTACACTCTCTTACCTCCATCCTACTCCTGTTCACCCATTTCCTCCCTTCAAGTCCCTTTCCCACACTCAGATCTCTTTGTTTTGTTTTGTGACCCTCTATAGACAGTTGGGGCCATCTGTGTGACCACAGGCTTGGAACCATCTGTCAGAGCTTGTTCTGTTCACTCACCAGTAGCACCACAGCTGAAGACAGTGACTCCCAGTCTCCCAGCTTCTATCGGTAGCCTACAGTTCATTACAGAGGGGTGGGGCCCCTCACAAATGCAGAAGTGGCCACCCTGTGTAGGCCTAGGGAAGATTCTCACAGCTGTTGTGAGTTCCTAATTGCAAAGGCTGCATCAGGTCTCGAAGATGGCATTTCCTAGCCCTTCTCTCTGGCTTCTGATTCGGACATTTTCCCGGCCCCTCTTCTGCTATGTGTCCTGAGCTTTAGAGGAGGCGGTATCAACATCTTCGTTAGGGCTGAGCCCTCAGCCAGTTGAGTGCCCATTAGAATATTACATTGATACTTTAAACACATCTGGAAATTTTTTTTTGAAAGCAGAATCAAATGAAATCAGAGCTGAATGGTTTACTTGAAGTTGATCTTTGCTCCTAAAGTCTCATCTTCACTTTCTTTTTCAACAGCTGGGAGAACAGATGTCCTTTTCACACCAGAACATGTGAGAGTAGAAAGCCAGGCTATGGAAAGCACTGCTGCTTTCCAAAGGGGACAAGGGCCCAGGGGCTTCACAGCCAAGAGCATCCTTGATTCAACTTTCTCCCAAGTTCCTCATCCCTGTTATTTTAAATAGCCTGCTGCTTTGTCAAGCTGCTGTCACTGCGGCCCACCCCCAGGTGTTAGAAAAATTGATTTTACCTAATGCCGTGGTGAATCCACATTCCCGTGCAAGAGCTGCTGGGTGAGTCCCTGGTTCACTGACAAATGACTTCTAGCTTCAGGTGCATCCGCACACCAGTGCTCAGAAAGGAAGGGGTCTGGAGAGTCCATTGTTCTGATGAATGAGAAAGGGTTGCTTGCCACCGAGTAGCAGGTGCCGCGTGATTGATTACTCAGACTGGCAAAGTCCAAGTGCACTGCTTAGGAATTATTCTGGTTCTTTCTTTTGCGGAATTTCATTTGTATGCTCAGCATTGATGAAATTCCTGTTCAGCTTCTACTTTTCAAGTTGATTGAGCCACTGCCTGATGTTTCATTTTTAAATGTATTTAAAGGAAATAAACATCATTATTCAAGCCGTAGAACTTGGTGTTGTTTGCTATGCTGTTCCTCTGTATTTAGTGCTAATGGGAAATATTTTCAAAACAAAAGAAAATGTAGAGATGGGAGGTGAGGGAACAAACAAATAGACTAAAACTATACCTCAGTTTTGGGGAGCCAAGGCAGAGCTCTCAGCAGGCTTATCATTCTAAATAAGGGTGACACCAGAATGCTGGAAAGCACCCTGTGGCGTGTGAATAAATTAAACTGGACCATCATCCTTTTAGGCAGAAGAACCTAACAATGCTGAAATCTCCCCACCATCTGGGATTAAGCAAACAAAACCTGTGTGTGTAGGTGTGTGCACGCCCATGTATGTGCTTTGTATTTGTGTGTCCCATGTGCATGTTGTTCCCTTGGAGGCCAAAAGAGGGCTCCAGATTCCCTGGGAGTTAAATTTGCTTGTGAGCCACCATGTGGGTGCTGGGAATTGAACCCAGGTCCTCTGGGAAAACAGTCAGTGCTCTCAACTGCTGAAGCTTTCTCCAGCCCCCGCTCATGGCATTTGCCTATTTGTGATTCCTCTAAAAGCCTGTACCCCTGAGTGTGTTTGCACGTGCTCATCTTTCAGTCCCATCCACATGTCAACTTGGGGGGCAGCGTGATTCTTCTCTTTGTTCCCTTAGCTGCCCAGGAAGGGAGCACAAGGTCTTTCTTTTTTCTTTTCTGTGCCTAAAGTGCCCCTACATATAATTTCCTGGTTTTGGTTCATCAGAGGAAATCAAATAGCACTAGCGGTATTACTTATCAAACACCTTAAATTGATCTCTCTGAGTATGCGCACATATAAAACAGGGAGCCAAACACACACATGCCATGACAGCTGTTACCACACAACTCTGTGTTCAGATCTGTCTGTCCACTCTACCATAACCCTTGTGGGATTGGAGAATTTCCTGATCCTAAGTGCGTTACTGAAATTCCTCACTCAGGTCAGACCACTCTGGGGCAGGAGAGTCACAAGGAGAAAGATAATGATAAAGAAACATAACCCTGCAGTGGTGGTGGTGGATACCGGCCTAAACCCTGCCCTTCCTCTTTAAATTTGCTAAGCAGTCCCTGGTTTCTCCCCTTTTTTTTTGAAGTTGTCTGAAGCTTGTAGGTTGGGGCCTTTCAATACTTCCTGGCTTTATTACTAATCCCTGATTTTTCTCTTTACTTCTTTCTTTTCCTCTCCTCCTCCTCCTCCCCCTCCTCCTCCTCCTCCTCCTCCTCCTCCTCCTCCTCCTTTTCCTTTTCTCTCTCTCTCTCTCTCTCTCTCTCTCTCTCTCTCTCTCTCTCTCTCTCTCTCTGTGTGTGTGTGTGTGTGTCTCTCCCTAGCTATGGATTGTCCCTTGTACAGTTCCACGAAGCATCTGCTCATCCCAAAACAATGAATTTTGCAAAAAGAGTGTGTATTCATGAAGTGGCAGTGAAATGTGGAAGGGTGCCACCTACATCTCAAGCCTGTCTTCCAGAGGAGAGGGCACAGGGATAGTTATGGGATAAAGAAGTAGGCTGAAAGGTGATCTAGTGATCAGATGGAGCACAGTGAACACTCTATGAAAATGTAATTAATTTTCGTGGCTCTCCATAGAACACTTGTTCATAAAACAAGAGTCTTAGCAAGACCCATGATATTAGCAAGCTCCGTGAGTGGAGCTTTCAGACACACCCCACACCTCGAAAGGTCACACACATGGGACTTCTGCGCAGGCCCACGGGACTACTTGGAAGGCACAACATAAGCAGCCTTTAAATCCCTGGGAAGTGCGCTAGGCATCCTACTACCATGACCCGCAGGTCAGAAGGGTCATGTACAGCAGAGATGGGGTGGTGTTAATAACATTCTGGGCTGCACAGCCTCCAGAATTAGTGAGCTTTGCAGTCAGCTGCAGACAGGTAGCTGAAAGCAAGAGATTCTACTGGCTTGCTTAGGGTTCCCCCTGGATGTCAGAAGTAGTCCGATCCTGCTGTGACTATCCTTGCTCCATCCCTTGCCGCTACTGGCCCAGTAACTCCTCTCTTGTTGAATGCTTGCGTTCTTTGTCTGTGTCCACAGTGCTGATGGCTTCTCCCTTCTCGTTTTTTTCTTAATCAGGTTTCTGAAAGGGCTCACACCAACTAGGCTTTAGAAAATGCACTTAGCCTTCAGTGTCCTGTCTGGGCATCTCATTCCCCCATCCTCCCACCATGCACTCTTCCAAGGTAATTGCTGGAGCTCCCCTGATGATGGAGCCAGAGGGCAGTCCAAGTGTTCCGATGACACAGAGGTGGATGACTCACTTGGCTCACTCATTTTCAAAATGGACTTTTAGATTTTCTTTTATGAGCATTTTACTTGCATGCATGTATGTGTTGTTCACATTTTCTGGTGCCCCAGGAGGCCAGAAGAGGCTGTTGGAGCCCCTGGAATTGGAGTTAGAGACAGTTGTTAACTGCCTTGTGGGCACTAGAAACTGAACCCGGGTCCTTTGCAAGAACAACAGATGCTTGTAAGCACTGAGCCATCGTCTCAGCCCTCAGCTCATTACTGGTAGCTTCAAAAAGAGAGAGGTTAAGTCACCAATGAGGAAAAAAGGCATAAATCTAAGGATAAACTTCACCTCGTAATCTCATTGTCAGGTGGAACAAGCTCATTGAATTTCAGCTTCCTCATTCCATTTGAATTATGAGTAGTGAAAAATATTGAGCAATATAATACACTTTACAAATCAAAGGTCCTATCTGATAGAAAGATAATTTTGGACAAATCCTATAAATTTGAGGCCTCTGAAATGTTTTCTGTTTTTATCAAATCCTTGGACTAACTGTTTTTTGGCTAAAAGTGGCTCTGGCTCCTTAAATACAATTTACAGGGAGATATCACAAGAAGTCATGAGGCTGGGGTCAGTAAGCCGGACAATCCTTTCCTCTTCAATTCCCAACAATCATCAAGAGGTTGTACTTGATCCCCCAATGGCTGGTCAGGATGGGGATAGTTCTGGAGGGTGTGATTTGAAGCAAGGTTTGTTTTTTGGGGTTTTTTTTTGGTTTGTTGTTGTTGTTGTTGTTGTTGTTTTGGTTTCGAGGCAGGGATTCTCTATGTAACCCTGGCTGTCCTGGAACTGGCTTTGTAGACCAAGCTGGCTTTGAACTAGCAGAGATCTGCCTGCCTCTGCCTCCAGAAGGCTGGGATTAAAAGCATGCACCACCACCACCCAGCTTTGAAGTAAGCTTTATTAAATACTGGCTAGAAAGATGGACATTGGCCAGGTCCATACCTGGGTTTCCCAGAGAATGAGCACAAATTAATGTTAGTCCAGTATTTATAAAAAGCCACAAGGCTACATACTTCCCACCTTTGTCCAATTAGGGGCAAGCATACCTCTTGACATACTTCCCACCTATGTGCATTCCTCCTAC